TCAATTGAAAACGACACATGATAAGTGTGCTTTTCACGATCATAATCATAATTGTGATGATTGTAATGATTACACTGATATGCAAATTGCATGGATTTTCACACGAAAAGTAAAACAATTATCTGAGTGATGTGTGTGAATGCTCTCAACAGTAGTAAATCATGTCAGAGATCTGTTCTAAAATGCATGTGATCGACAGAGTGTCTAGCAATCATCTAGACGATTTGAGGTGATTGTTTCAATCGAGTGAATAACGTTTCATAGATGGAAATCAGATAGAGAAATAAGGAAACAAGGGAGTAATGTAGGATGACTTTATTGAACTTTGACATTTTTCAACGGTACGCACACAAACACACACACGAAGATTGTGTTTATCAACGAGGATAACATAGTGGAACTAAATAGTTCCCAACTATCGTCCAATTACAAGTGCAAGTGCAAGTGCAGGTTCATTCATGTGTTTCAGTTTGATGGAAATAGTCGAAGCAGTTGAGAAACTGTCAGATAATGAGAAATACTAAATCGAGAGCTCTTATCACTGAACCAATGAGATGGCACACAATCGAGTTCCCACTGTTTCAATCGTCTGATACTAAACATCCTGAAATGTGAGTGACCGGACCGAACTGATCTGTTATTCGACCACACTTCCAAATGGGTCGATGGATTTCAGTAATTAGTGAGTGTAATGTAGAATGTCAATTACCAGGCTTTGAGTTCAGTTGAGTATATTTCAATCCGATAGTTCGAAGCACAGTCTTCTGCTCTACCGATTGTTAGTCAGATGGTCTACACACAAGATTATGTGTGAGGAAATCACGATAACGAATTGATTGCATTCACACTTTCAATTAATTGAATCGCAATCCCACTAACATGAACTGTTTCGTGTTTGAGAGTAGTGCGACTCACATCTCACAGTGGCTTGGGTCAAGGAGACAGTCGGTTATAGAAACGAGCTTTCCAATTATTCACGAGTAAATAAACTTAGACATTCTAACTACTGTTACACAAAATACTGTTTTGTCGAGTCTTCTTATCAAACGTTAGATGTAAATTTATAACCAGTGTGACAAATAATTGGGGCAAAACAAATCAGATTCCACCTAATTTTGTTTCATGTTTTGCATGAAACGACACAATTAATTGACCCTATAATTGTTTTAATGACACCCTAAATTGATTATTGATTGCATCTTATATCTGGTTGTTTAATTGTTTATAGAATTTTCTTCTCGCTAATCATTTCCGTGTAATTTTTTCGTAAGGTTTATTCAGTCTATCTGTGTGTTTTGTAGTTCGTTAAACTGTTTCGGATTTTAAGTTGATAGCATTATTCTCATATTTTATTTTGTTAGTGATGTTTTATATTAACAAACAATAGATGTTGTTGTTGGTTTATAATCAGGCTTACTGGTTACCGCCATAATAACTAGTTATATTGTAGTCACAATATATGGTTTACTTTTTCTAGAAATACGAAGAAGTTTTTGAATATTTCTCATTAAAAATGGGAAAAGTTGATCTGTTTATTATTCTAAACCCTCTCAGTATTGAAATGCTATTCACGACCTATATTTATTAGATTGATTAAATAACCTGTTAAATAATGAATTATTTTGTTTAAATAGAACTATGTCAGTGGTATTGTGTACGTATCGTTGTTAATCGTGGGAAAAATAGTTGTCCGTCAAACAACTTAACTGTTTCTTTTATCGGTTGCTCATTTGAATGGCATATTCATTTCTTATTGAAACGCTGTATATTGTTTCCACAACTTTCTTTAATTATGGTCTTTTATTTTGTTTTTACAATGAATTTATTTAGTTAAATGTGTCTATCAACTTTTCTTTTATGTTGAATATACAAGACTAAACTATAGATCTTATATTTATCCTACTAGGAATTTAGGAAATCACACTCGTAATGCCTAAATATGTCATTGTTTGTGTCTACTTAGTTTCAAATGACTGATGATCTTTGTCAATGTATTCAAGAATGTGTACTATCGTTTAGTGCTATCTCAGATGTAGCTCTCAGTTGGACACCAACGCCAGCTAAACCAGGTGATGCCACAGGGTCTTCGAACAAACACACGTGAAACAGGCTTCCCAAAGTGACTGATGTAAAACAAATTCGTGGTAAATTAATGAATTCCTGTATGGAGGCTTGGGATAGACAACATACATCGAATTCAAACTTTTAAAGACATAGTCAACCTTATATGTTGTCCAATTTTCCTCAGCGTGCAAACGTTTAGGAAGGCAGTTTGAAAAGCCTACGTGGTTTTAGAAAGGCTGATCTCAAATTCCTATCCGATGGAAGCATTCAACTTTCGACCGATCAGTAACTTTAGGACGTTTAGTCGACCTTCTGTATGAGTTGAAAAGTCAATTATTATACAAAGTGGGAGAGAAAACGAATAGACAGGTGACGTACTGCAAGATATGAACTAACGTTATCAAGTTATTGTAAATATAATTTGTGAGGGTGCAGATTGAAGCGACAGTAAATTTTTTCATTTATCATCATTTTTCGATTTGTGTGTGGGCTGAGATACCACCTGGATTCCTAGAGTGAGGTAGGCAGTTTTCTTAGGGAGCCACTTCAGAGCCTTTAACCTAGAGATATAATCCACAAGGCAGTGGAGCAACGTTATTTAATATTTTCATCACTCGTTAAAGATTACTTTTCATCATAACCTGTGAGGTGTTTCTAGACTGTTCGTAATCGATGTTTTCTTGAAAATATCATCAGTCAAGGGAATAATTTTTGTCTATATGACTTACGATTACTAAACAGTTAATGTATTTAATTCATCTTAGATGATTTACTTCTTTGCACGGTTTGATGACTTTGCTTTCATATTAAATTACTTGTAAAAAGAAGACGGAAATGGATAGGACATACATCACGGAAACCACCAAACTGAATCATGAGGCAAGCCCTAACTTGGAATTCTGAAGATACATGGAAAAGAGAAATGCCAAAGAAAACATTACGTCGGGAAATAGAAGCAGATATATTAAGGATGAATAACAACTGGAAAGAGCTGGAAAGGATTGACCAGGACGTAGTTGGAGGTAGACTGATGGTGGGCGGCCTATGCTCCTCCACGAGGATTAACAGGCATAAGGAAGTGAGTAAAGAGTTCCAAATAGAAATTTAATTTAAGCATCTTACTTCATTAGAGCGGAAAAATTTGGTATAATCTATTTCATTTCACACTGTAGCTAAATAAAAATGAATATAGGTTTTTATATATTAATAATTGATCAGTAATATAATTTTATGGATAACTATTGTTAGTTAAAAACTACTGAGAATAGTAAAATATAGAAAACCAAATTATTTGCACCGTATAATTATTTTAATCGCTATCGCATGTCTATAAAATTCTTTTTCGGTAATGAAACAGTTTGAAAATCCTCAGAATCAATCTTATGAAATAAATCAAAGTTGAAATATTTGGCTACGAAATATTTGCATATCTAAAATGTATATTATTCGTATCCGTATTTCAGCAAATGTGATATTATTATAGATGCTCAATGAAGTGTAACATTCATGGTTTTACTAAGAAGAATGTTTGTTAGAGTTATTTTCATAGTTGAATGGTACTACTTTATCATGATAGTTAAGTTTTTATGGTACCAATAGTAACATCAAGGCAAAACGCACTTTATATGAGACTAGTTTGGATGTTTTTTTGGATCAAATCGTTGAAAATACAAATGAGATAAAGTTTTGTGAATATTTATTATGATGTAAATTTATTTCAATCGATTGATAGAATTCTACACGAAGTTTTTTTAGTCTCTTTGTTTAGGTAAAACTGTTTGTTTATATTTTAAAAATCCTAAATTTGACTTCAGAATTTTTTAAAATAATGTTTAACCAGAAATTCTGGTTATGCAAATATTAACGCCGTTCTTCTGTGATTATATAGGGAATTAATTTCATCAATAAATGCCAAAACTAAATGAAAACATTAAACTATCGAATCTAATCTTTCAGTAGGCGTAAAGACAGCATAAAATGGATATAAATAGTAGGAATATTCCGTTATTTATGAGGAGCTGTACACTAACATAAAGATTACTCATTTTATATAAACACTGGTCACCATTTTCAGATGAATCGATCACCAAGTTCTCCTGAATTTCTAACTTCGAAAGAAGAAAAATGCAGGTCATTTTACATGCTACTTATCTAAATCTGATCTCAACATTATTGAATTATAACAATCTCCTAAATATTCTTCATTAAAGGGTTAAAAAAATCTGTTTTGCCAGACAAAGCTAACAATCCATCATTATTTATAAATCCTGACAAATTTCATAATATAAATAAAATAATTAAAATGACATTCTAATAAGGTTATTAACATTTTGATTGGAGATTGTACTACTACAAATTATTAATTATATACATGTTTGTCCTTGAACTGCTATAGTGCAATAATTCTAGGCATATAGCTTGGATATGAATGATACTAATGACTGATTTATACATATGTATCAAGTAAAATTCACTTTACTGACATTGATTTTGACCAGATAACTAATGTGACTTATCATATTCAGCAAATTAATGAGAGTAGTTTACTTGTTATATGATATCTCTAATCATAACTATATTTTGATAGTTTAAGGAAGCTAGTAATCGTACAAAAAGTTTAGGTTACATTATTTAACACCTCAAACGTGTTAGTTGATGGTAAGCTATTCTAACAAATGATCAAGTATAAAACACTTGCCAAACATTTCAAATATTAAAATTCTTTTTGTTGAACCGAACATTATATTAAAATAACACATGTAGATCTTACTTTTCATCGTTCTTAATGAATATATAGCATTTTGTTGAAAAAGAGAAACCACTTATATGTATACCTGTTCTGATCATCCAGAGAAACTTAATTCTTCCTTTATAATGTTTCATTATTTTGTTCTATCTTTTTGGTTTTTGGAATACGCTTCTTTTTCGGCACTGAGTTATCCTTCACGATAGAATTGTCGTCGTAATTTTAACAGTTCTCTTGTTACAAAAAATATATGTACAATACTTATTAATCCAACTAGTATGCAAATCATTGTGATTGGATAATAAAAAACATTTAATTTGCCACACTTAATTGTAAAAGCAATTGCAATCAGTGGCATAACTATGCCAAATATTAAGTCACACATTACACAAAATAACATTAATGATGCTGATGGAACTGATTCATAATGATATAATCCCATAGCAAGAGTACCAATTAATAGAAAACCTGCAGAACACCATAAACCAACACAGTAACATTGTATACGATATGTATAAATTATATAACCAACTTCAATGGTCGAACAACATAATCCCATTATTAACAATAATAAACCTGTTATCATGGTAAAGAAATCCCATCTATCTCCATTATCACACCAATATTTACTGCATAGATCTTCATTTTCTGAAATCGGTTCACTTTCTACTATTTTTGTTTTTGGCATTATTTTAATTTCCCCTTTGATAAATAGAATCTATTTAGATAGAATTTCACAGTTTTTAACAGAAAATGTTTCTTTTTAGAAGAGAGATTTAATGCTCGCTCTATTGATGTGAAAAAATGTATTTGAAATGAATATTTATTTTCTTCTATACAAAGATCGAAAATTCAATGTTCATAGATTATGAGGTACTTTATAATCAGCTCTAACATACAATTGTACAATAGTAATTTTCATACGGTTCTACTTTTGGTAATATATATATGAGCAATAGTATTTTGCATCAAATAAATAGTAGTATGTGATTGGTTGATCAGTCCTCTTTAATTTTTGTTTATCACCACTTAAAACATAAATTCGAGTGACCTTGATAATCTAAATATAAGATTGTCTTAATGAGTTGCATTTTAATTTTACCAGTAAGTTACATCTTTAAGTGTACTTATATTATGTAATTTTTGTAAGTTTTATTATTAAGATCAGATCAATGCAATTGATAAGTTGAGTTAATTATTTATCGATGCATTAATAAACAAATAGAATATCAGAAGGGGTTTTGTGGATATTATAGTAATTTTAATAGTTGAGATCATGAGTCAATTGAAGCTAGACCACCATGGAAAACCTGGAAGCACTGGACGGTCGTTTCGTCATCTTGTGGGACTCCTCAACAGTAGGCATCCACGATCCCGCCGCGCGAGATTCGAACCCAGGATGAGATGATCATTCAGTGCTTCCAGGTTTTCCATGGTGGTCTGGCTTCAGTTGACTCATGATCTCAACTATTAATTAGAATATCATTTTCATTTCTATAAATGTATGGCTATTATGTTTGTATCGACTGACAGATGGATTGTATGTGATTGCTTTGTATTTATTGAATAATATTTATTTAATTATGTTCGATGTCATCTACTTTCTTCAAACACTGATATATATATTCGTGAATGAATTTGAAAACTTCTATTTCTTCACTTACAATAAATTAAGTTTTTCTTAAAAAGAAAATTTGATTGTTTAGATCTTTGAAGTGTTGACATTTAATTCTCAGTTTATCTCTTTTGTTGAATACATCGAATTAATTAAATTTGAGTATATTTTATACACTGAAATATGATATACTTTTTAGAATGAAGATCTACATATCTGTCTATAAAATTTCATTATACACAGATTTTACTGAAAACAAACATTTTGTTTTGTGAGTCAGTTGAAGCTAGTCCAACAGGTTTTCTATCGTGATCTAGCTTCAATTGACTCATGAATTCAACTAATAAATTACTATCATATCCACAAAATCCCTCTCTGATTTTCCTTTATTCCGACAAAAAATAAATCATCTTAATAAAAATTATTGGGCATTCTGCAAATAGTGTTAATGATGTTTGTTAATTTTCAAATAATCAAGAGACCTATGTGCACTCTATTCGAGCAATGTGTACCCTTGAAAGATGTCTTATCAAAGTTATGTAACATCTTATTTTCTTGTTATAAATATGGGATTTATGCCAATCTAATCACTAGTAAGACACAACGTTACAAGTATATTACTGTTATAACGTTAAATGAAAAATTTTTCATAGATTGACCATGTCAATGGGATTTCATCAAACATGAAAGTTACCGAACGGAAATGAAAAGGACGCTTTGTATGATAAATTGTTGTGTTTATCTGAAACGATATGTGTATTGATTTTACAGGAGTGCACAGGTAAATTACAGAAGACATTTTATAACTCATAGTATTATCAAGTTTCAAATGAATTACTTAACGGGAAGCAGTTTACAAGTAAATAAATGATTTTATTCTTTTGGGTGATAATAATGCAATCAGTTTAAAACAGTTAGTTGATTTCACTTGGAGATTAAATCGAATACTCTTTGAAGAGTTGGTTAAAAATTTATATTTTAGTGTGGAAGGATTGATAAACTTTATAGGTATATATCACTGGCAAATGAATTTCCGATTCGCTTTCCATGAGATAAAAATGACATCGAAACCCTATCACTTAAGGATGAGTTATTATGTGTTTACTTACATACATCAAAACCTGTTTGCTAAATTGGTGGAATATGAATCTGATTTAAATTATAATAAAACTTTATTCCACTGGTTGACATACACAAAATCTGTGAATACTAAACATGTATTCTTAAGTTTACATTATGCTCATCAGCAAATTTCCAACAAGTGGATAATAGTAACAGAATACCATACGACGATGTCAATAAACAGAAACCTAAAACAAATAAACTCAACTGACAAATAATCAGAATTAGGCGTATTACAGTACCTTTTGGAAATGATCAGAGAGAAGAAAATTCTATAAACAATTAAACAACCAGATATAAGATGCAATCAATAATCAATTTAGGGTGTCATTAAAACAATTATAGGGTCAATTAATTGTGTCGTTTCATGCAAAACATGAAACAAAATTAGGTGGAATCTGATTTGTTTTGCCCCAATTATTTGTCACACTGGTTATAAATTTACATCTAACGTTTGATAAGAAGACTCGACAAAACAGTATTTTGTGTAACAGTAGTTAGAATGTCTAAGTTTATTTACTCGTGAATAATTGGAAAGCTCGTTTCTATAACCGACTGTCTCCTTGACCCAAGCCACTGTGAGATGTGAGTCGCACTACTCTCAAACACGAAACAGTTCATGTTAGTGGGATTGCGATTCAATTAATTGAAAGTGTGAATGCAATCAATTCGTTATCGTGATTTCCTCACACATAATCTTGTGTGTAGACCATCTGACTAACAATCGGTAGAGCAGAAGACTGTGCTTCGAACTATCGGATTGAAATATACTCAACTGAACTCAAAGCCTGGTAATTGACATTCTACATTACACTCACTAATTACTGAAATCCATCGACCCATTTGGAAGTGTGGTCGAATAACAGATCAGTTCGGTCCGGTCACTCACATTTCAGGATGTTTAGTATCAGACGATTGAAACAGTGGGAACTCGATTGTGTGCCATCTCATTGGTTCAGTGATAAGAGCTCTCGATTTAGTATTTCTCATTATCTGACAGTTTCTCAACTGCTTCGACTATTTCCATCAAACTGAAACACATGAATGAACCTGCACTTGCACTTGCACTTGTAATTGGACGATAGTTGGGAACTATTTAGTTCCACTATGTTATCCTCGTTGATAAACACAATCTTCGTGTGTGTGTTTGTGTGCGTACCGTTGAAAAATGTCAAAGTTCAATAAAGTCATCCTACATTACTCCCTTGTTTCCTTATTTCTCTATCTGATTTCCATCTATGAAACGTTATTCACTCGATTGAAACAATCACCTCAAATCGTCTAGATGATTGCTAGACACTCTGTCGATCACATGCATTTTAGAACAGATCTCTGACATGATTTACTACTGTTGAGAGCATTCACACACATCACTCAGATAATTGTTTTACTTTTCGTGTGAAAATCCATGCAATTTGCATATCAGTGTAATCATTACAATCATCACAATTATGATTATGATCGTGAAAAGCACACTTATCATGTGTCGTTTTCAATTGAATGCAATTACAGTTATTCGACAAACTAATCAACATTTCTGTGCAAACAAGCTGACTGTCATAATATAGACAAGAAACGTGTAGTGTATCATTGAGTGATATTTTCAATGTGAAGTGCTTTGTGATATGCATGGAACAGCTATATAGTTAGAAACGAGATTTACTCTGGTCACTTACAAATGATAAACAGCAATTGAATAGTTTATTTTATAATCACTGAACAAATATTTTTAATAACTATTGTTTTGAGAGCGTAGTTTGGTGACTCAAGGAATTAGTAGTTTCGATGCTTGTTTTGTAACATTTTACTAATTTTTTTCAGATGATATATTGTATCATATCCTAAACTTTTTTCATGCAAACCTTTATATGTTATTTGTACTGTTATTCTGGTTAGAATAATTTATGGAGAACCTTTGAGCGACGCTTACGTGACCTTAAATGTGTCCACCTAATAACCACGATCAAATAATGGTTATAAACCAGTTTGAGAAATAAGAATTGTGATTTACAGTTGATGGTTAAGTTTAGGAATTTGACGTATGGTTTTATCACGAACTAACATCAGCTATAATGCAAAAACTCTATGTAACCAAATGGATGAGTGAATTTCGCACTAAAATCCGTAATCTGTTATTGTATACATAATTTGTTCGACCACAAATTATAGTTTCGCCGCATATCATCATTAATATTATTTAGGAAATAAGTTTTTCGATAAAACCTGTATTTGTGTGATTATGTGATGAGTTTGCCAAATAATGATTCATTTGTTTATTATCAGTCACTTGATCACGTAGAATGTAATACCTTCAAATGTTCCCACAAATTTTTGTGTCACCCGTCTCTACTAGGATACAAATTAAAAATTCGCGTGTATTACTGGATGTTTTGCGAAATTCAACGGCTTTTATTTTTCATATTTTTTTCTCTATGTAGTTAATTCTTGGACACTTACCAAATCGCTATACTAAGAATCATTTTCGAGCAATCATTTTGAATTGGATTCGTCACTCTACACCAACTTCCTTGACTATGACAAAGCATTTGACGGTGTGGATTGGAGAAACTTATGGAACATACTTTGACACTACAATGTGCCTGAGAAGATCGTCAGCGTTATCCTGAACTCATATGAAGGATTACAGAGGAGAGTCGTGCATGGAGGACAGCTAACAGACGCATTTTATTTGAGGGCCGGAGTCACACAAAGCTGCCTACTCCTCTCTTTGCTCTTTCTTCTGGTGGTTGACCGAATTTTGAAGACCTCCCCATCTCGGCGTAAGCATGGAATACAATAGACAGGTTTGATGCAAATACACGAATTAGGCTTCGCAGACGACTTAGCTCTTCTATCCCATACACAATAACCAATGAAGGTAAAAACAGCTAGAATAGCAGCAGTCTCTACTACAGTAGACCTCAGCACACTCAATGAAAAATTTGAGGTTC